CAAACATTTAGATATCTTTACCCCTTATGTATTATGTGGAGCATAAGGGATGTTTTATCGAATATAACTACATGGATTTCAATTACAGTTGTAACACCCAAAGTTTCAAAGGCCATGAAAGGAAAGAAAAGCCCTAATTTAAGGGCCGACTCGGCGAGTTGGTCAAGGTGACTCGGCGAGTCTGGTCTGTGCGTGGAAAACCCTAAATTCGGGACATGGAGCCTATATAAATGTCTTAATCTTCTTCCTAGGGTTCCTTACTGCCTCTTTAGCCCTGGATATCAAACCCTAGCCGTCACACCTCCTAGTTGAGCCTTAGAAGGTGCATTAAAGCTTGGAAAAGGAAGAAGGAACTTGGAGGAGCAAGAAGGAGCTATAGATCTGGGATTGTGAGTTCATTCTGAGCACTTGGAGGTAATAAACTAGTTCCTGGATCCTTTTGCACCTAGATCTATGTGTGGTTGTTAGGGCTCTTTAGCCATAATTTTATTATTTTGAGTTAGAAGCCGGATCTGGAGTTGCTACTTAAGATCCAAGTGTGTTATGGCCTGGAGAAGCATAAAGTATCAGCCATTAAGTTGATTTTGAAGCCCCTTGGCCTTACACCCTAGTTTATGGCATATTTTGCCTAGATCTCCTTCTCTACACGTAAAGTTTGCAACTTTATGTGTGGCATAGGCTTGGGAAGGGTGGATCTATAGTTTGGAGTCCATGCATGACTCAAAAATACTCTGCATGTAAGGAGAACTTAAGGGACTCGGCGAGTCCTTTGAGTGGACTTGGAGAGTAGCATGAAGTTGTGGAGAAACTCGACGAGTGGGATGAACAACTCGTCGAGTCATATGAAGATTGCCTTGTAATCGGCGAGTCTGTTCTTGGACTCGGCGAGTCAGGTCGCGAAACCCCAAACCCTTCGAGTTATGACTCGAATCAGTGAGTCGGGTGGAGACTCAGTGAGTTGGACAGGTCTGGACTCAGAAATCGGTAGACTCGGCGAGTCATGGACTGACTCGGCGAGTCGAGTCGCGAATGGAAGGAATCTGATCATTTTGAACTCGACGAGTCAGTAGGGTGACTCGGCGAGTAGGGTTGACCTGGAAGGTTGACTTTGACCAGGACTTTGACTTTAGACCAGGGTGGACTTGGTTGTCTTTCGGGGGTCAGTTAGACTCAATGTTGCATTGATATTGGTAGTTCGTGGAGCAAGGGGAGCAGGAGTTCCGTGACTTGTCAGGCAGCAGCTAGTGAGATCATCAGCAAGTTCAGCCAGTGCAGGTGAGTTTCCCTTTGTGTGAATGGGTCTAAGGTCACAATGCCGGCGCATGTAGTTATGAGTAGAAGACCCGGGGGTTAGCCCTAGGCACAGTATGCTAGTATTATTTTCAGGACGAGGTCCTGTAATAGCGAACGGGTGCCTAAGGAATTGTTTATATGATAGTTTATACTTGTTGTTTGTGTGATACATGTATGTGCCTGGTAGGGAGGTGAGTGTGGGCGAGGTCCCGTATCTCACTAGTAACAGAGTGTGGATGGGGTTCCATATCTCATTAGTAGCAGAATAGGGGCAAGGCCCGAACTAGAACAGGAGTGGGAGTGGGCTAGGCCCATACCTCACTACCATTAGTAGTGTGGACGGGGTTCCATGACTCATCAGTAGCAGGATATGGGCGAGGCCCAGGATAGGCGAGGCCTTAGGACAAAACCAGTTGTATGTGTTAGTTATGAAATGTTTATGTGTTATTATTTGTTGGCGGGCGACGCTCTGCGACAGGCGGGGCCTAAGTAAAACAGATCTGTATCCGAGCGGGGCTCGAAGCCAGGCGGGGCCGTTGTAGCGGGCGAGGCCCAAGATAGGGGGCATGGCCCAGTATGTGCAGTATGTGGTTATGCATGGTATGTGGTAGGATGGGGAACTCACTAAGCTTCGTGCTTACGGTTTTCAGTTTTGGTTTCAGGTACTTCCAGTAGCGGAGGGAAGAGCTCGGTGTGATCGCATGGCACACACCATAGATTAGACAGCCTAGGAATGTTTACTCTGATAATGAATATGTGTTTTGAAAACTTATACTCTCGTTATGTTTTGGAATGATGACTTTACTTTAAGTAATGATTTATTAAAAGAAATTTTTGGTCTTAAATTTTGGGTCGTTACAACTGTAAAGGAAACAATCAAACCAATCAAATTATTATGGGAATAATTTGGGATCTTCAATTCTCATTTTATGAATTCGGATTTCATGCAAAGTTAATAGATAAACTATGTCTAATTCAGTTTATCTCTGTTTAATTTATAATATCATGGCAGATAATTTATTTGTATTCAATTGTTTTTACTGTATTATGTTTCAAAAACGATTATGATGTTTGATAACGACCGAGTACACCGTGAATAATTTAATACTAGCTTGTGAGATTTGTCTTCATTAAACCCTTCGGGTTATCAGTAAATCCTCCCCGGAAGTATAACCAGAGTCTCCTGGAGTGAGAGCGTGGAATTTGTGAATAGATCTATTCGTGACTTACAATCCCACACTTTAACTGCTAGCTACAGTTGGGCGGGCACGCCTGGGGTGACAAATTGTGGATATCGTCCGACACCTGAAGAACGTCAAGGAGGTCTGGTGTCATATTATCATGGTTATCCGACTCACAATCCGTATTAAAATGTAAGTTTATTTACGGATTCTATATCTTCCTTAAATCTATAGTTTTATATGTTAAAACTATCTACTGTTGTACTAGATGGTATTCCCAGGGGTTTTCAATCAATAGTTTTACGTACTAAACTATCTACTGTTGTACCAAACGGAAATTTAGAAGTCCTAACTAAACTGTCTTTATAAGAAAATATGGGATTTTCTTGGATAACAACTTTTCAAAAAACCAAAGGAAATATGTTCTTTTAACATAAACAAACAGCTTATGAACTCACCAGCTTTATGCTGATTTTCAAACTGTTTGTATTCTCAGGTCCACATTAGACAGGTACACAACGATCTTTTGGAGAAGACGAAGCGTATATAAGACTCGGCTTAACTTTTGTTCATATGATATACATGTATAAACTTGTAACACTTTATTTTCAAAAAAATGTAAATACTTTTATGTAATGTAATGGTTATGTTTACTTCGTTTACTATGTACATTGGTTGTGATACTTAACATGAAGTCACCTCCTCCCCGGAACGTTTCCGCCATTGGTTTCAGGGTGTGACACTTAGGGTTTCACTCTCTGATATGGAGGCTTAGAAATGAACCTTAGCATCATTTAAATAGTGAACAAGCCAAACATTTAGGGTTTGCATCTGGACCCATTACGCCCAACGTAACCCTGGGTACGCCCAGCGTACTCATTTGCTACAAGAGTTCTCTCAAGGGACCACTCTTGACAACTTGACAAAATGGAAGGGTTTAATAGCTTTACCTGGATTTCGGGATGTTACACATAATCTTTCCATAAGAAATAGATCTACACCAAAGTTCTTTATTATAAATCTATACCATGTACAACGACCTACAGTATATGATCCCTCCTAGATTAACAATTATAGAGCTAGGTGTGAATTCGAGGATTTGATCCTTACGAAGGAAAACACACCATCATAAAACTCTCTCGTTCACCCCTTTCGATACATTCCTCTCACAATCACACACGAGATACACAATCCGAAAAATCCATGATGACAATTCTTCGACTCATAAAATTCTCCGTTCACTAGGGTCACTAACGTGAATCTTAGATTATTAAGATTTTTGAACCTTAGTGAAATTAGTTAAATAGTGAAATTAACGTAGTGTTCGACTATTGTGGTGATAATAATTTGAGTAGTTCCTTACTTCGGTCGATAAGGAGGATGTTCGTTTGCGTAGCCGAATACTCACTTATGTCGATGTTCGATAAGTTGCATAATTTATATGATATATAATTTATTAGGTAATAATCTCCAAAAATTCGAGAATTAATTATATTATCATATGTGACGAGTTTTTTTTTTATCACAAATAAAATGATTTATATTTTTATAGTAATTATAAAAATAAATTATATCGTTTACTTAGTAATTGTTTCCACATTATGATCGGGAGTGTAAATATAATAATTGATTTTTGGTATATTTTCAATTAATTATTATATATATTTGTCAAATCTTCGTTTATAGTCATTTAAGACAATGTACATTTCCTTAGTACACAATTATATTGAATACCATATTTTGATATGGGTATAATGTCTTTTATGCTTTCTCAATATTTTCGCGCACATATATACGACAAATATTACAGTTTATGATTCGTCGAATAACTTATATCTTTATATCAATCTACTTATAAACCTTTGATTTTTATTAATATTAACTAATATATCACAATAAGGTATAATTTTATCATTTATAGCATTCTACTATAACTTATATAATTATTAATGCTTTATACCTTTTATATTGTTATTTTCATAAACTCTTAACCAGTAATAAAATATGATGCCATTTTATGTATAAGATTTGAAAATCATCAAAACTTTAAATAGGCATTCATGTATTATCCCCAAAATTAAAAATGTAGAAGAGAGGCCGTAGAAACTCACATTCGATGCGTGAGGAACTGTAATTTACCCCTTCATGAATTTGGAAAAAACCATCAGGACTATTTTGATTAAAGTAAAAGAGAACCTGGTTTTGTAGTTTAATTAGCCAAAATGATTGTTTTGGTGAATCAAAACAAATGAGAGAGAGCGTTGGTGTATTCAGCAACTGTAGGGCTGTTTTGGGAAATAATTTAACAAATGGGGGTTGTTTAGTAAATTCCTTAACTACAAGAGATCAGTTTTGATAAATCTTTTCAAATGGGGTTTATTTTGGCACCACTCAACATTTGTAGGGGCTGATATGGCTATTTGTTATAAACAAAGGATTTTAGCGCTTTTGTGCCCTCATCTTCCCCGATCGATCAAAAGAAAGAATCCGACGCGAGGAAGAAGCGCAAACGACACACGCACGCCTTCAGCGACTCATCCGTCGAGCGAAGGGATAAAAAATCGAAGGCGGCAGCAGGTGGCTCGGTGGAGGAGGCCAATCGTAAAGAGGAGGACTGACAAAAGGGACTTCGGTCCTCATCTTCGTCATCATCAGACCGGAGATGTGACTGGCGAACGAAGGCAGCCAAGGGATGTACTGGTGGTGGCTAAGAGATAGCGAGGAGGGGAAAACCTCCGGTACTCGGTTGGTCCAAACAAAATAAAAGGGAAGAGGCAGCGAAGCTGCACTCTTTTTGCTCCGGCAGTGAGATACGAAGGGGAAAAACGTGCGGCGATAGCAGCTCCGGTGAGGGGGTGTTCGACTTCTTCTTTTGAGATACGAAGGGGAAAAACGTGAAGGTCTTGATGTCTTCTTGATTGCAGGGAAATCTCCACATCTGGTGGAGGTTTGGGTTGATTCAATTGACAGGTTGTTGCCCTCTTTGGTCTTGATGTAACAGCCAACCACTTCGGTGGTAGCTTGGCAGAAATTTGTGAAGAAGAAAAGGGAAAGAGGAAGCAATTTTGGATCAGTGATTTCATGACTATTTTGCAATTTCAATCGACAAGGGGAAGAGAAAGGGAAAGAGGCTGTTGCCTCCTTGATGTTCACCGGAAATAGTAACCGCCTCCGGTGGTTACTTTGACAACCAAAGAAGAAGAAGACGGAAGAAAAAGTTGCTAGACACCTTCTTTTTTGGGTAGGCACCTTTTGAGAAAAGAAACAATAACAAAAGATAAATGAAGTGTTTTCCATTGTGTGTAGTTTAGGCCTTTAGGGTAAGTTGAACGTGTAGAAGAAACATCACTTCAATTTTCTTCATTATTGTACTTTTAGGTAATTTTAGAAGTAGTGTATTGCTTCAATTATTAACGTCTATTTGTGTATGTATGATCATGTATTTATGTATGTAAAAACATGTACTTTTCTATATGTATTAACATATTTTGGGAATGTGCTGAGTGATGTGGCGGAAAATGCAAATTTAGATGCTATACTTATATTGTTAAAAGTTTGAATTCAATTATGCTTCTCTCAAAGTGCCAAAAGTACAATGTCATATTTGAATATCTTAAAAATGATGATATATTCTAATGTTCTCGATTCGTGTGCCATCGATCCGGATATTAAATAATTTTTCTGAAAATCATAAATAATAATCTCGGTTATAAGGTTTCCAAAAAGTCAAACGGATCTTAAATCCAATAAGTAGAAATCCGGGAATATTCGTTTAAAGATTCACGATTAATAGGATTGTGTTCGACAGATTTTTCGAATCTGATTTCGGTCGAGTTTTAAAATATTATAAAAATATAATAAAACATTAGACCATATTAAGAATTCAAAAATGTGTTCAAATACGGTTTATGAGACTCATAGTTGTTCCAAACGAAACCGTGTATGGTGTTTCAAGAAAATCAAATACATACTGATTTTTATAATTTTAAAGAGTCGTAACTTTCACATACGACCTTTGTTTTGGTCGTTCGTTATATCCACAATATTAGGATAACATAATCTACTCAAATATCTATTCAATAACTTGAAAATATATTTAATACAAAATTTTATTTTTAACGCCATCAAAAATTAAATTTTTGGCGATTTTCGATTTGATCTCAACGATAGAGGGTTTTAGGCCGCTTGAGATGTTCTAAAAGCAATTATGAATATAAGTTATTTAATATAATTTACAAACATAAAATTAAATGTAATTGGTCTTCATTGCATAACCGTTTGACTGCCGAACTCTCACCAATTTTTCCCATTTGTTACATTATCCACCGTTGAAAGGAATTTTGTCCCGAAATTCAACGTGTAGATAAAATATTATAAAACAATTGGTGAAATTTTCTTTACGCTTTATTCACACATGATCATTCTATAGTCGTTATAAGTCGTATAACTAAAGATTGGGTACTGTGTCGAACAGATAGCTTTATTCTAATCCCAAAAAAGAAATGAATAGGGAATACAATCAAATTAAGTCTTTTATGGTTATCGAATCTTATATACAATTCTATCGGGTGTACTTACCCAATTGTGAAATATTCACCTAGCTTCCTAGCTCACTTCATTGAAAAAGAGATGACAAGTGTGTCATGGGACCAACACTCCTTGAAACTTGTCATATGAAAAAGTGTCGTATCTGTCGTTTAGTTCTCAATATAATTCGATATAAATATCAGGACCAAATTCTATTAAGAATTTCTAATGTCCTTTGAGCTACATGTTTAACATGTTTCATTCTCTAAGCCGAATCCTATATCTAAAAGAGTATATATTTAAATCTACACAGTCTCTGACTTGGAAGTCGAGATACTTACATTTTTTGTTCACATAACTCTCTTTTCGTTCATGACCAGTCTAAAATATTTCTATGGCTCATACAGTCTTTTCAGAGTACAACATATCACCTGTATGCTCTTTGTTTAATTTCACATCTTCAATCATTGCTCAATATATCGAGGATCAACACTTTCATCGTACAGAGCCTCAAGCGGTGAGGTCTTTATGTTAGCGTGACAACTATCAATGTAGGAAACTCAATTAACAAAAATAAGCATTCCAGGCAACATCCAAAGATCTATAAGAGATTTATAGAGCATATTACTTACGTCAATCTGGTTCATCCGGTCTAACCATTGGGGAGAATAAGTTAAGTTTATGGCTAAGCACATACATAAGGATTTTGATGATTGTCAACACTAACAAGTGAATCTACTATCTTAATGGGGGACGATAGAGACTGGCACCTCATGTAGTTTGACGATTGTTTTGCAAGTATTGGCCAACTTTTCCATTTCACATGGTTCTTAGTTTAGCATGAAGTGGGCGTACTTAGTCAATCCGTGAACCACTACCTGGATAGAAATCTTTAGTTTTCATGGGTAGTTGTGATATAAAGTCCATTGATGTTGATTCCCACTTTTACTTGGGTGTTTCTCTACCATTACTCTAGTCCTGAGTATTTATGACATTTTTCCTTTAGGACAAGTATGATATTTGTCCATTTCATTGGTAATCTCTACTATCTTGGATGTTCACTATTACCATTCCTTTGGATATAAGTACATTAGGTCAGAAGCCTAGATGGATGGGACACTTTAGTCTGTGTGCGTTGTCTAAGACTATGCTCCCGTGATCACTGCACTTAGGCGTACAAATTTGGCTCACAAAGCATCGCATACCGTCATCCCTAAGCTTGACTTATTTATCCATCATTCACAAAGTTTATCTCGCGAAGCCTTTCCTCTCTCAAAGTCTTGTGTTAAACTTCTCGAATTGGAGCTGTAGGTTGTGAATGGATATTCATAATTAATATTCGTACTCAATGAGGTTTGGTACGTTGTTTTCGGCTCAAGACATTTTCTACTATGTCAATCTCATTATAATGTTAGCGAATCTCACTCGTCATGATGACAACAATTTTCTCATTTATGTCATTCAACCAAAAGCATAGGCAAAAACCTTATCTCAATTCCTCTATCTGCACATCAATTCTTTAGGTACATGTCGTCGTGGACGAACAAGTCCTCTTACTTTCAGAAGGGTAGGATTTGTGCTCTACACCATAGTTGTTCCATCTTCTGGAATATATTATCTTGCTTAATTTCCAGTTGGATTTTGTTTCCTTTTTGGTGTTAATATAGTTGATAGTTGGGCTACCATAAACAAGTCCCTGATGGTCACTGGTAGTTTCCAACATAAATTCCTTTTTTTTTTGTTAAAATTCCAACATTCATTTCTTGGGAAGAACTCTTCAGTAAACTTCCATATTAGATCAAATCCTTCATATTTGATTAAATCCTTCACATTTTAACAAATCCTTCACATTTGATCTTTAAGGTGAGACAACAACTTTAATTAGGTTCTTCTTCGACCTGTTATTAAAAATGACCATGTCTTTCTTGTGGGGTAGGCTTCATAATATAATTTCCTTTTAGTACAAATCTACGCACAATAGGGAGGTGGCTGATTCATACCTATGATAATGTCCAACCTTCTGCCCGGAATTGGCATAAAGTTTATAAGTAATGATCGATTGTTGATGGTTACAATTAAAGCGGGTCGTATAACGACATGACGTGACACAAACAAAACCAAGTCATATAGACATTGATATTGGACTTTTGGTGACATACGTACGAGATTGACGTGACAAACATAATTAGTAAGTGTTAGGATGAAATTTATTTAAAATTTTGCGAGTAGGCTTCCCATTGCTCACTAGTTGTCTCTACTTTATAGGTTTTCTCCAATCTATCGGATTCGTGACTTAGAATAGGTTTAATTTAAGGTTCACGAATATTTCGCCACACACCTAAAACAAAAATAGTCCAGCATACAAGTGCTTAACAAGAAACGCACCAGTTACTACTGATGTGTCATGGATTTCATTCCTCTTTTTGATCACGATTGCTCTGAATCGAGTTTTCACCTCCTAATTCTTCAGTCTTGGGCAGTTTCTCTCAAAGTGTCAATTTTCACCATTTTCGTAACAAGCTTTTCTTCCACCAGTTCTTGTTCTAATATCTGCGTTTCATCTCCTAGTATCACACTCTTATGAGCATTGCCTGTAGTCCTTCTCAAGTCGTTGCATAAGCAGGGTCGATGCCCACAATTTACACTTAGTAGTTCTACTTGGTAAAATTTGTGTCCTTAAAAGTGTAGGTGTCAAACTTAACACTATAGACTTCCATACGATAGCTGACATGAAATACCGATTCCATTTTTTTCGCTATAAGGAGTTATTCCTACAATTCCTTCAATGTCGTAGAAGGAACTAGGTTGACATCACTATTATTTCCATGTTTGTTGCTTACGAAATCTACCTTGTACAAAGTCGTTCGTCCTGTTGACCTTGTAAGTGACCAAGGTGTTAACTACTAGTTGTTCGATCATTATCTCGATCGTAGTTGCGGCAAGCGATTGTGCCGGTGTCGGACGATCACTCACTGTATCTTGTGAGACATATCTTTTCTCACTACAATTTGTTCAAGGAGAAATAAGTCGCGTGAAAATATCGTTGTGAACATTAGTGATAAGATTACAATTATGCCAAACGTGTATAATTGATGTGGGTTTGCTCGAGACTAACTCTACTATGAGTATTAGATGTAGCAAACATCTACAGTACCACCAAGGGTGAAATGTTACACTTGGAACGAGTGAAAAGAAACTACAAAGTATTGGAACAAGTTATGAAAATTTACGAATAAAATGCTATAAGGAAAGAATCTACTACTCGATGTTTTAACTATATCTCGAGTTCTGAAGTTATAATTTATTAGAATCGAGATATTTTAGATCTAGACAAGATTCCTAACAACTTTTATGTTTCACATTTTTTTATCGAGTCTGTTTTATTCTCCTTCAAAAAGGATCACAAAAGATGAATGGTTGGCGTAGGTTTCCTTTTTTTGAACTTGGATGGTTCAAACATAAGTCGGACGGCTCGCAACCGAAAGAAACAAATTGATTGAATACCTAATCCAAATTCGAAATGATTTGTAAATGTGTGTATTTTACAAGGTATCCTTAAGATGTCTAACAATAGTATTCGTAGCATATCATATCCTAGAAATTAGTATTCCAAGATAATTATCGAACATGATCTATGTTTATGATACTTACAGTTTCATGATCATTTGAGGTAAATATTTGCCAAATATTCGTAAAGTGTTTATTAAACTTTTTAGGATTCTTAAGCGTTTTAAACTGTGATTTTATCGTTAAATATTTTGGGCTCCAAA